TTTTTATTACATTAATAACCAGGAGCATTAGCTTGAGAGAGTGAGGGAAATGTAGTGCTAAGAGCATCATGTGACATCAGATGTAAATAATTGCAATGCTGTTTTGATTTCCATCAGTCTTGGATTAAGCTCATAGTGTATGGAATTTCTAAATATTAGGAAACAAAGTTATCTATTATTGGGAAAAAAAACTCTAGTCAAACAGATATGATATTTTTTCCTGTTTGCTGTGAATTGCCTAATGTAGAAGATCAACTGTGAATAGAAGTGTAAAATGTGGCAAATGCAAGAAGAAAGCAAATGCAAAAAGAGAAATTTTTTTTTTCAGTTGTCCATAAGGATATCATACCACTCCTATTTTCCCCTTTTTTCACTAAGTATGACTCATGCCATAATTCTTTTGGGAAAGACATAGAATAATGCCAAGATAATTTGTTGTACTGTGAAATAATTGGGTTTTGTCCTCACAAAAATGCATGTAAGCTTTTAATTTTAAAGGAAAGAGAGGCCTGAGGTTTCATTCAATATTTAATGTTTATATTTTATACTCCCTGTAATGTGGGGTAATTCAGTCAACATAATATTTTTGGATGGTAGAAAAGTTCAAACATGAAAATTCCATTTGGGCTGTCTGTGCTGCCTATCAGAAATCGCTATGGGTATTTAATCATTCAGAATAAGAAAGGTTTCTTTAATTTTTAAACATGTGTTTCATTTTATGTTTTATTTAAATTGTCTTAACATTTACATAGAACCCCTTGAAGGCTTGAAAACTTGAAATTTACGTTTGATTAAAAAATAAATGATTATATAGCAGAGTGTGAGCAGAGATGTATTAGAGAAAGGAAAGGTACCATCTGAGTATGAAGATATTCTGACAATTACAAAATATGACTTGCAAAAATTACTGATTTATGAAGTGATTATTTATTTTAAAGGAACTGGAAGCCAGATTCCAGTAGGGGTGTTGTGGTACTGTTGCCTTCCAAAACAATATGAATTTTTAAAGAAGTACTGTACATGAGAAACTCTAAACTGCAGCAGTGTAGTTAATGATGGCTTATGAGACAAGGGAATTAAAGACACAAGGTTAGTTTCTTTTTCCTGGTTAAGAGATGTGTGTTCTTGGAATTGCTCAGGAAATATGGCAGGCTGGGTTGGTGCTGCTGCTGTGAGCTTCTGGGAAAAGTAATTATGATAGAAAAGTCTAAATGCTGTAAACGTGGGAAAAGGACATCAGCAGCTGCATGGTGAAAAGTGCAGCCTAGCATGGTCCATGAGGGAGCAGAAATGAGCAGCATTGGAAGAAGCCATTTCAAGTAGTAACTGAAAACCTAAAGCATTTCTTATGATAAACTTCTGCATCTTTAAACTTTGATTTAAAGTTTAAAAAAACTTTTAAAATGGCTGAAAATTTTCTGTATTTTCTCATAGTTATCAATTGTATGTTCCAGGAATGCTCAGTTTGGTTTAGGTTGCTGTGCCAGGTTTAACTTGTGAGTCTCTTGAGGTTGATGGCAAGGTATGTGTCACCCCCCTTTGGCTAGCAGTCTGTCCTACAGGGGCTTATGAAAACAGATGAATTTTCACTGCTTAACAAACAGCACCAAAAAGAAGATATTTATTTACTTCTGACTTAAATGTGCTAATGACAGTTTACATGCTGTAATTTCTGAGTGTACCAGCAAAATGCTAATCTGCTTAGGTTTGTCAGGTATTTCATTTATAGTTCTGGTTTCTTCAGCTATTAAGCAAAGTCCTTACTATCACCACTAAGTAAGTGTTTTCTCAGCTGACTAAGGGAGGATGAAAACTTTTATTAAAGCAGTTAACCCTTTAAAAAACATTTATTCAAATCTTTTGATACACCAACACACTGTATTCTGAATTTAGAATTTACCAAATACTCATAACTAAATAAATTTAATTTCACTCATATCATGAGAATGTCAAGTATTTTCTCATACTTTGGATGGAGAACTGAATGTGAGGTCTTTCTTTCTATTTGTCTTTTCTCTGTTAGGCCATTTTCTGGCTGGTAGGAACTTCAGACTAAGCCTGATTTGATTTTTCCATGATTGTATATTGCTTCCACTTTTGGAACATACGTTGGCTTGTTTTTTACCCTATCTAGTCCAAGGTGATGAGGTTATTTAATATGATTAATTTCATTTACAAATGAATTTACAAAAAGTATTTTCTATATGATTTGAAACTTGCATAGAAGCAATGTGATGATTAATTTTAGATTTTCAGTGTAACCATTTGCTTGTGACTCTTTAGCAGATGTTATTAACCAAGTTCAGTGGTCTTTGGGAGGTATTCTTTGGCTTTTTCACAGTACAGAAATATACATAGCTGTGTCTGAAGTTTACACCTTAAATAAAAGGTACAAGGTATGTAACACACAGGGATTTCATGTGTAAATATGCACATACTTCAGATCATGCTTGCTTTTCAGCTCCAAATGTTTTTCTCCAATACAATTAGTGGTAAGCCAGCAAGCACTAGCAGTGGTTTTGTATTTTAAACTTTGATATGCAAAATTTTATTAGATTGTCGAAGTTAGTTGCTACTTCTGAGTAGTTTTTAAGGAAAATACCCAGGATCAGATATTTAGTATTGTTGTATTCACTACTGTCTGTGATATCATTTGGCTTTGATATCATCAGTCACTAGAGTATCTCAATGGAATTCAAATCTTCGTGGTTATCAAAGAACTGTAACAAAAAAAAAAATCATTTTGTTGCATCATTTAATGTAGGAAGGGGAAAATTAAAATGATACATTTTCACCTTGAGAATTAATTTGAAAACTTAGATTTCCTTTTACGTAGAGAAAGCTGTTGTTCAAAAGCAGTTTATACCTCTCTAGACAGAGTTATCCCTAGATTTTAATCCCAAATATTAGTTTTAAGAATTTACATGCTATTTCAGTTTATTAAGCTGCAGTTTGAAAAATATAAGTAGTTAAAACCTGCTCTGGTGTTTTAGCTTTTTCTGGGATTTTTGAACCACAGCTGGTTAATAAAATTTTGTCTTCACTTCTTCCACGCCTACATTAAAAGCATCTTTTCTGTCACACAGCTTGTACAGTTTTCCCATAGGGACATATAATGGAGTTGATCAAAGTGAAAAAAGTGAGTCACACAGTCATTTATTTACTCATGTAAGATAATAATGGTGTTGATAGTTACCTGGACACGCTTTCATTTTATTAGACTATGGGAAAGCTGGGTGTTAAAAATTCTTAGCAGACTTGGTGACAAGTGAACAGAAACTCAGGGCTGCCAGGTGGTTACTGTGCTGTTTGTTGTCTTTTGGCAACAATGAGCAGAAATGCTGTTTTTCTGAATTTTCTAGAATATTTAATTCTATAGATTATGACGAAGAAGTCTAGTTTTCATGGTATAGCCAGTCAAATTGTACATACTATTATTTTATTATTATTGAAATATCAGTTTAGATTCTAAAATTATGTCTATCTAGTTTCATGGGCACAAGTTGTCTATTGTTCATAGGTAAGGTTTTATGTTTATCTGCTAGGCAGATGACTACAATTCAAGTATAAGATTCCCTGCTGTCTGTATTTTTTTCCAGCCTTTGGGACTGGATTTTCAAGATTTAGTAGAACTGGCTCACTAACAGCAGAAGACTTTTTGCAGGAGGGCTGGAACAGTATTTGGGAATCACTCTGAATGGCAGACTGGCTCTGATGAGTTTATCAGGAACAAGAGGGTTCCTGACAGTGGTTTCAGTGGTTTCGTCTTGTAGGAGTGTTTTAATTACTTGTTTGCCATGGTTCTTTTAGGAGCTGTTGAAATAGAGAAGAGCCCTGCATTCCCCAGTTAATACTTCCTTTAACTTGCTTGTTTGGTAGGTTTTTCTGTGAGTGAAATGGTATGTCTGACACCAGAAAACATTTTTGCTTTGAAATTTTTATGTATAAGATAATTCTTTATGTCTGGTGCTTTGAAATCTTCATTGAAACCTCTGCAGAAAATGTAAACGAAATATGAGACAGTTCTTTACCTGTCCTTGATATTCCTTTCATTTCAGCTGCTGCACACCTTGCTGTCTTTTCCCAATACTATTCAACTGTGTAATGCTGCATAGTAAAATATGAGATAAAGATTGAAGTGTAGTTATTTTGAATTAACTTTCTCTCTTGGTAGCATCAGGTTTAATTTCTGAGATGTATAACCACATTTCTTTCTATCTATCTATCTATCTATCTATCTATCTATCTATCTATCTATCTATCTGTCTATCTATCTAGTGTGAAAAGCAAAGATGGTCAGCATCAAGTATTCATCCCAAGCACAAGGTTGCTCATGATCCTTTTTCCACTGTCTTTATTGACTAGAGGTAGTGTGTAACTTCCAGACACTGGATACATACCCTTTAGTTGTCTTTAACAAGTTATAAAGAATCTGAGACACTGCTTCACTTTTTAAATTCTCTAGTGAGCAGAGTTCGCTTGTGTGAAAGGTTGTCTTTTTTAGTACCTTACTTGTCTTCAGAGTTTGAATTAGTATCTCCCTGGTGGGCAACTGCATGGGAGGTAATCAGCTTGATATCATGGCTTTAGGGAGTGCATTTTGTTTCCATAATTGGCCTACATTCCATCTGCACAGAATCTGACTTAAGATATCCAAAGGTTTTTGCAAGGTAAGCATCCCTGAAATTCAAGCTTAGAATTTTTGTCATGTCATATCCGTGCTATATTTATTTACATGTGGTTTGCACAATCCATTCTGACTATACACTTAAAACTTTGCTTTTATCTAAATTTCTTTCATCTGCGAGATCACTCATTTCCGTTTTTAACAATTTTTTTTTCAGTAGTATTTTTCATCTGATTTGAAATTTAAAGTTAAAAAAAAAGACATACATAGATTTTTAAATTCTCTGTCTGGGCATTTAGATTTACATTTTCCATAGAACTGTTTGAACAGAGAATAATCAGAAAGTAAATAAAGCATTTTCACTTATTCTCAGCAAACTGCATTCAGAGGATGAGAAGAACACCTCCGCTGGATGAACTGCAGCCGCCTCCGTACCAGGATGACAGTGGCTCTCCTCATCTTTCCTGCACGCCTTCCGAAGTAGGAGACAGCAAATGTGAATATTCCCAGTGTAGCAACAGCCCAAGGTGCTCATATAAGTGCCCAAGTGAGGGAAGCACGGGACACGAAATAGAAAGCTTTCATAACAAAGGATATGAAGAGGATGTTCCGAGTGATAGCACAGCAGTTCTTAGTCCAGAGGTAAATGAAAACACTTGAGTGTGGTGAAGCACTTTTTTAATCTAAAGATCAATGCACAGTTACACAGGCACTCATACTGCAGCTCATTTAGTTTAAAAAAAAAAAAATCTTGTCAGCAAATATGACAATAGGATTTCAGATTGCTCATATTGCTGTAGTTATCTTTATGGCACCTTAACTTTCAAACCAGGTCCTAGTATGAGTGAATTATTTTTTAAACCATTTTAAGCCAGTCAGAAAATTTTGTCACACTGTAAGGACTGTAGTCAAAATTCTTCCACATGATTTTTCAGACAACCCAAATAAAAGTTCTGCTAATGCTCTGTCAAACTGAATACCCCAGAATGTAAAGAGTTTTATGAGGGGGGAAAAAATTATAAAGGTTGGTTTTTTTCCAATTGTTGATGTAGTTTTTTTGGGTCACTTAATGTTCCTATTTTTCTGCTATAAATTATAATGACATACATGTATTTTTTTCTGTGAAGAAACCATCTTTTTTGACATGTATTTCATTGAAATGCCTTTAACAACCAGTTACTGCACTGACATCTATGGGTAGGTCTAATTAGTGATGCCATGTGCAGAAGAAGCTCTTCTGGTACAAATTTGTCTTTTGTTGCTACGGGATGTTTTGAAGTGCATGTTAGAGCTGATGTTTCTGTCTAAGTAGCCCTGTTGGTAGCTGATGTTGTATACCTGGGATGGTGGTGCAAGGTCTGGAAGGCCCAGCTGCAAGCCCTTCCCATCTTCCCATTTTGTGTCACTTCAGCTGTTAATGTAAGCATATTCAGTAAGAACTGAGAATGCTACCAGCTTTTTTTATAGCCACTCAAAGCTTCAGGAGTGAAGCCTTTAGAGGAATGCATTCCCACAGCTATGTGGCAGCCAGGTTAAAATAAGAACATTTCTTAGCACAGAAGGCTTTGTTTTGGCATCTGTTTGTTCATATGGACTAGCTTATCTTTTGTAATATGAAGACTCTCTTGAAATACCTTTGTTTTACACACTTGGAATAATTTATTTTATGTGCAGTAGGCCGACCTGTACTTGTAAATATTTTCTGTTTCAGTATCCCTATCAAACTGGCTGTTGTAACTTTATAGAGGATCAGTATTTTATTCAAAACTTGAAGTGACAATAAGCCTGAATTTTAAGTTTACAATACAGTTTTAGGACTAATGTGGTTTACAGAAAGTTCAGAAGATGAGTCCAAAACAGATGCATCTTCTACAGTTCCAGTAAAATTATTTTAATAAAGCCACAATAGTGACATCCTTGGCCATAGCAGAAGGGTTGGAATTAAAAGATCCTTAAGGTTCCTTCCACCCCAAAATCTTCTGTGTTTCTACAATAATTTTTGGCATAGCTCTTGTGGACTTCAGCAGGAGCTGTGTGTGCAAGTAGGTTTGTAATTCCTGTATTCTTTGCTGGCATCTCACTGTGCTCTCAATCATTGGCTGTCTCTTCAGGCAATATAATAGGTGAACTTTAAAATACGTGTGTAAAATACGTGAAATAAGGTGGTTTTATCTTGTAACAAATATATATACTTACGAACATTAAAAGGACACAGAAGAGATCATTACAGCTTAATTAAATCTGAATTCAGACTGATTGGCTCCTGGCTTTTGGTGGTATTGGCCATGTAAAGTCTTGATTTCATCTTGACTGCCAATCAGCCATCTCCTTGGGTTTTCAGTGCTTAATAGCCTTGTTTATGAAATGAACAAAAAGATCATAGTGCCTTCATATTGTCTAGATTAAACCATATATTCCCATGCTAGATTTAATAATAGAGTACAAGAAATAAATAAATAATTGTCTTTTTTTCCCTTCTTCTTCAGGATATGTCAGCTCGAGGATCATCTTCACAGCTTCCTAAACCTTTTGATCCTGAGCCAGTAGCTAAATATGGCACACTGGATGTGACTTTTGACTATGACTCACAGGAACAGAAGCTTTTGGTGACAGTGACAGCTGTCACAGACATTCCAACATACAGCAGGACAGGTGGAAGCTCGTGGCAAGTACACCTAGTTCTTCTCCCTATAAAGAAGCAGAGAGCAAAAACCAGCATCCAGCGGGGACCGTGCCCTGTCTTCACAGAGACATTCAAATTTAATCACGTCGAGTCGGAGATGATTGGGAATTATGCGGTTCGCTTTCGACTGTACAGCGTACGGCGCATGAAAAAGGAGAGGATTGTGGGAGAAAAGATTTTTTACTTGACAAAATTGAATCTTCAAGGGAAGATGTCAGTGCCAGTGATACTGGAACCTTCATACAGTCTGCCTGTGAGTATTAAATGAGGCAGAATAAGAATGCAGTGAGATACAGTGTCCTGAATTCTGAATAAGAATAGTGTGTATATTTATAGAGTCATCACATCCACTCAGTTTTTTGACCAGTCATAGCACTGCTTTAGCACAATGAAAATTTCCTTAGAGCTTCTGTAAGTACATTCACTTTCCACCTGCAAAAGCTGGACGTAGTTTTCCTTTTAATTATTTAGAAATTTCCAGTCCATAAGTAGGGATACAGTGGCAAATGTATATATCCATGCATATAAATATGTATATGTATGTAATAGTATTATCTTTACCACCTGCAGCACTTCAATTTAAAGACCAGAGTGGAAGAAAAAAGAAGCTATACTAGCAAATGTCCTCCATCTGTTGCAATTAAGTCTTGGTTGCAAATAGGTATTTTCCTTGAAAGAAAGAAAGACAGGAAAGAGGGATTTTGAGAGTATAAAGCCATTTTGAATAACTTCACATCTAGAACCTAGAATTGATTGATTTCTGGTTCAGTCTGAAGTGAAAAGTAGTTGAAACTGAAAAGGATTTTTTGTGAAAAAACAACTACCTATCTGATGAATAAAATTATTTGTCCCTCAAATAATATTTCTAAGCAAAACAACAGTAATTAAGGATAAACATGGGTATCATTATCAATAAACACAAAAGATCACTAAACTGGCAGTGATCACCATCTTCTTCTTCTTCTTGTTTTTTTGGTAAGAATTTAAGTATGCTTTTGTCCGGAAAGAAAATGTTTGTCATGTGGTCTAGGCATTCCAGACTAGGAGTGCTTGAGTATTTCTTACTTAAGAGTTGCATATGTGCTATATTACAGATATATTTTTGGGGAAAAAATTATGTTTATCAAGGACATCAATATTTGGTCCATGTATGTATTTTGTGGGATTTTTTTTTTTAAACAGTCAATTAAAGAAAAAGAGGGGGAGAAGGGAAAAAAAGAAATTTTTTTTTAGGTGAAGCAAAAGAATTAATTTGTTCTGCATTTTGAAAAAAAGAGTTTGGATCATTCAAAATGGCGTTTCTGGTGAATATGTGTATTGCCAAAGCCTCAAAATAAAAGGCTGTTGTATTTAAGGATTGAAAAGATGTTTATTAGTAAAAGCTGAGGTTAAATCATGGATCTGGTAGAGAATCAACTGACAGTAGAGCAGATTTCTCATGGTTCCTTAAGAAGCACAAATCAGTCTAATCTAAGGATGAAATGGTTCACCTCTCTAGAGCAAATTTCCTTAGTGAAAAGTTTGCTAGTTTCACAGCTTGGAAAAAAGCACCCCATGACCCAAAACATTGAATATTCTCAAGGTACTTGTTTAATTTGTGTGTTTTCAATAGGTTTGTGTATAAAATTTACTAAAGTCGGTGAAAAAGGGCGGTGAATAGGCCAGGTTTGTGATTGATTGGTGTATCCCATATGTACACTGGTTATTCTTCAGTATTATTTTCTTGAGGTTTTGTGATAGGGGGAATAAAAACAAGTTCTATGAGGCATGAAAGATGATAAGGTTGTTCCTTATTACCTGTTATGATAAGGCATGGGTGTGTCAGCATTTTTGGCTCCTCAGTTTTTGGGGGTTGGAACTAGAATAAGGAATATTGGTAGAAAGTGAAGGGATCTTCCAGAGTTGTTGGATGTAATAGGATTTAAGCAGCTCTACCTGTTGCTGGAAAGGATCCTTTGGAGTCGTGATAGCTTGAATGAGGATCTGTGGTCCTCTGGAACTATGTGAATCAATTTTTAAACCTTTGGGAATTCATTAACTTCTGAGTTTATCATTTATAACCAATAAAACATTTTTTCAGTGAGCAGATTTATTGCAGGATTTAACATCTATTTGTTTTGCGAGAGTGTTAAAAATTCATTGTGTTTTTAGGATGTGTGACTGGAAGTGAGGGGCATCCTTGGACTCTTGAGCTCAAGCCCTGGTTACTCAAAACATCCAGGTCATCTTGATCACAAAATTGTGAATTTTCATCTGAAAACATCCGATTTTTTTGTTTGCATCCTGAATTTCTTTGTGGTCAAGTTATTACCATTTGTTCTTCTTCCAGCATTGGCCTTGATCTTGATTAGTTCCTACCCTTCTCAGGTGTTTGCCTCTGGGTATATTTATAAACATCAATTGTATTCCTTTTGAACTGTCCTTTTGCTAGAATAAACCACCAGTCTTTATGTACAACTAATCATAAATGTCAGGCAAGAGTTATTTAACAGGAAAAGGTAAATGCTCTTCGAATTTGGAGATATCCAGTTGCTCAAGGATATTCATAATTATAAGATCCATGATGAGCCACATTGTACATTCAGAATTAAATTTGCCTTGTTCAGTTGCAGAGGGTTTTGTTGCTGAGAAGTGTTTATATGTGACAGCTTTTTTATGAAGATATTTCTTGGACACATGACAGTTGTCTTATTTTTTCAACTGTTTCTCATTATATGGATTTTATATATTAAATATACCTTCTGTCACTGAAACTTCCTAATCCATTGGAATATCTATGCTAATCTCTTCTGCAGAAATGTATTTTATTTCCTTCTGTCTGTGCCTGATATTATATTAATGTCTTTTATTAGCTAATCATATGCCTTCTGGTTGTATAAGAACAGTTTGTATCCTGTGAAGTTCAGTATTTTTTCAGTGATACCTTAAAGCTGTACACAAGGGAACCTGGCTAAAGGTAGAACAGCAAATTCAGTGCCTTTCAAATGTTGATGTGAGTGGGGCCTGCAAGTCTCTGGTTATTGTTAAAATGTGAACAAGTGCATATCGTGGTGAGGACATGATACTTGTATGTTCCTTAAATAGGTTTCAAAGCTACACATGGCTTCCAATTTACAACTATATTCCCAAAATATCATTTTCACCCAAGATTTCACCCCATTTCTCTCCTTCCCACATGGTGTATAATGTTTTGCATTAGCAGCTATTATCCCCAGCCCCGTTGCCATTTGTCTTTAACAGCCCTGAGTTGCTGCAGTTCTCCCACGTAACAGGGAATTCCTCCTCAGCCCCCTTATTTATCACACATTTTCTCCCAAGTTCAGTGCATGTTTAAATGAGGAGGAAGCAGTGAAACTAATATGAGTTGGGCAGAATGCAGTTGTCACTGTTATCTGAGACTGTGTCCTTTCAGATTTAATATAAATTGTCCATTGCATCTGATGTTTAATAGCAAGGGTGTACATTGTGGTTTTGTCAGAGTATAGTTTGTGTAGGAAGATATTTGTTGAAACGTTCAGAGAAATTTTCCCTTTAGTACAGCAGAAGACAAATTTTTCTTCACCCATCTTGGAATTTAGAAAAGCTGTTTATTCCTCTTCAGGAAATCCCTGTGGACCTGTTTTTAGTTACTCTTCGTTCTCACTCAGAGAAATTTTCCTGACAGTGAAAAACAGCCTCTAGTATGATGTGATTATAAAAACATATAAGCAGTTTATTGAGTGAAATCTGTTTGGAAAAGATCAAAGAAACATGCATAATCCCCTTCACCATCCCATAGGTTGCTTTTTGGTGTAGAATAACAACAATCAATCATGGTTTTTATTTTGTGATTGATTTGGGAAATACTGTTTGGGTGACCAAAACAAACCTCTTGCTGTTAGGCAAATCTAGTAATCATTCATTAGGTATCATCAAATTACAAGGTGTTTACTGGGAAGAATTTAATTTATTTTTCTTTCTTTCTGTAGCATTCTCCATTTCTAACATTTTGAAGTCCCAGTGGGATCCCCATAACAAAGAACTGACGGTGTAGGGAATCACAGGTGTATAAAAGATTATTTTGTACATCTTTACTCTAAAGATACAGAATGTCTGGATAATTATTTTAATTAGTTCTTTTGAGTGAAGGCTTTTATGCATGCAGTGTATATAGATGCTTACCCTTCCACACACACACATGCACTCTCCACTATGAGTACAGTGGTTAATCATTTAGTATGCTCTGGTTTATGCACTGTGCTTAAGGTCTTTATTTCATGTTGCCCTTTATGTGTGGTGTGTCTTCAGTATTCCTTGCAATGTTTATCAGCTCATAAACTTTGCAGAAATAAAGGCCTTCAGAGTGGCATTTCTTTTATGGGAATTCTTGTCCATTATGGAGTGAAACTGTCAGGTTTTGTGCAAACAAAGTAGAAGAGTCACTACTAGTGGCTTTACTACTGTGTTCTTATGGCATCATCTATCCAAGATTGTATTTGGAAGGCTAAATGCTAAAATTCATATGTATAAACAAAGCTTTATTAAATACCAGTATGATACTTTAAGCTGCTAATAAGAAAAATGACTAAGACTTGTCTAGGGAAGAAACAAAAAGAATATTTTGTTCTTAGTATTGTAACTGGAATTCTACCTAAAACAATGACTTCCTGTGTGATAATACATAAATGCTGTTCGTTGGCTTGTATAAATTATGTCTATCAAAGTAAAGGGGCAATTATGCTTAAACCCTGGGCACATTTTATCTCAGGAATAACTCAATTCATCTGAGTTAGTGGTAGTAATACACAGAAAATCAGAATTGATCCTTTGATACAATAACAAAGATGACTCCTGTTGATTTCTTTGAAGAAAGTTATTAAAGTGAAGTGAAGATTGGAACAGGGTGATCGTGTTAGTGAGGCTACAGGAGAACTTGACAGTACTTGGCAAAGCAAACGTTCTCCCTGTGTTTGGCTGCTCATGTAACATTTTGTGGCAGTATCAGCAAGCAGCCATTGTCTTCTCAGTGTTGTGGCTGGGATAAAAAAGCTGACTTTCAACTCCCTTGCCGATTCACAAGTGGGAAGCAAGTTCCTACATGGGCAGCCAGATCTATTACCATAACCATGGATGTAGGATACTGATTTTTTGAAGTCAGCAATGTAAAGAATTGATGGTCAAAATCATCGCTTGGTCACAAGTAAAATAACAATATATAAACAGGCATGCTTTGCCTTCAGTTAATGAGTTACTTCAAAAGAAGTTACTTACTCA